TCCCTGCTTTCAGCTAAGATCCATCTAACATCAGCTACAATATCCCTAGTACCACGACCCCTTCTAAACCCAGCCTGGACTTCTGGCAGTTCTCTTCTGATGTGCTGTTCCAGTCGTTTTTGGATAATCTTCAGTAGAATCTTGCTTGCATGTGAAATCAATGATTTTGTTCTATAGTTCCCACTCTCTTTTGGGTCACCCTTCCTTGGGAAGGGAACAAATATAGATCTCTTCCAGTCAGTTGGCCAAGTGGTTGTTCTCTGATTTCTTGGCACAATTTGGTGAGCACGTCCAGGGCAGCATCTGTTAGCTGAAATATATCAATTGGTATACCATCTTTTCCTGTGGCCTTTTTTTTTGCTATTTCCTTCAAAGCACCTTGAATTTCTTCCTTCATCACCATAGGCTGTGGCTCATATGTTATTTCATTAAATTCTTCTGTGTTTGCCAATTCCTTTCGATACAGTGACCCAGTATATTTCAGTATATTCTTTACATCTTCTTTTATTGCTTCCTGGATCATTTGATATTCTTCCTATGGCATCCTTGATTATAGCAACTTGAGGTTTGAATTTGCTCTTCAGTTCCCTGAGTTTAGAGAAATGCTGAACGAGTTCGGCCCTTTTCATTTTCCGACTCAGCTCCTTGCACATTTCATTGTAATATTTTGGTTTGTCATCCCATGCTGCCTTTTGGAATCTTCTGTTTAGCTCTTTAGTATCTTGAATTCTTCCTTGTGCTTTGGCTTCTCTGCGCTCCAATGCAATCTTCAGAGTTTCTTCAGACATCCATTTTGGTCTTTTTTCCCTCTTCTGTCTTTGTAATGAAGTTGCTAGTGGATTTAAAACACATACCTCTGAGTTGCAACTCCTTACCACTTGTTCACCAGAGCTAACTTGCATTACCAGGGGCTCCTGTTTACTAAAACAGTAAAGATTAATAATTGTGATTAATAATTGATGGATGAATACTTCATATGAGAGATAAATATACATGTGTATATTTTTTTTTCTTACAGTGATGGAGTACAGGAAATCTGTTGGCCAAATATATTTAATTCATGTAGAAGCATCAAACATCATCAGTTCACACAGAATATTGTTAAGGAAGGATTAAGAAAAGGAGCACAATTCCAGTCAAGATATTGATTCAAATCCACCACCTGCTCCCTGGGAGCAAGATGAGTAATCTTCTATGTGATTTATAGCCTCTGAAACCTCACTGGAAGGTCAGCTATGAGTTGGTTACAACTTGATGACAATGCATGAGTGAATGACTAAGTTGAGTGTCTCTGACTATAGTTATCTAAGGTTAACATAATATTACCCAAGCATATGTCATTTTAGGCTAACATCTCTGAAAATCTTAGGAGTACTGGTAGCATTGTGCTGGACTGCTAACCAAAAAGTGGGTGGTTTGAATCTGAGAGGCAGTCTCTTCTTACAAAGATTTACACGAGTTAGAATTGATTTGACAGCCATGTATTTATTTGGCTTTCTGGTATCTATGAAAAATGTGGATTTATGTAATAAATAAGGGGCATCTGATAACAACAAGGTCCTCTAATGCAGACTTCAGTAATATTTTAGATTATAAAATATTTAGATTAGATTATAAGTTGTTGCTAAGTTTTTTCAGTTATAAACAATTTTAAAATTCTAATAACCAAATAATGAAATGTTCTGCTGTATTCAACTAAGACCTACCAATTACTAAAAAGTCTCTTTTTCTTCTAAAACTGTCCTAAGGCAATAATTTATACAGGTCCCTTCGACCTTATATTGGCGATTCGTGGTCTCATGAGAGAGACGATTATTGGCTGGATGCCCTTCTGTACATCCTGGTCTGGTTCTAGCTATTAACAACACTGGCTATAAAGCACAGAAAATTTTAAGTTCATGAGATGTCCTGTCATATTAATAAAACATATCATTAAAATCTATCTCTTTACAGCTCTGGATGCTTGTGACACTTTTACCTTGGTACCTGAGCTTTCAATTATCTTCATCTTTTGTTAAACACATATTCAACTCAAAAGGGCTCTTTAAAAAACTCAAAGTAAATAAACAAAAATCTACTACTGACAAATAGTTTTTTCTCTTTTTCTTTAAGCAACTGATCTTACTGAATTTTTCAATTCTCCTTTTAAGTAATACATACACATTTAAATAAAATCTTTGGATTTTTGAAAATTCAAAATTTGCTAAAAACTTTTTATTGCTCTCTCTTCTCACTGCTGAAATAAGAATTATAATGGTTAAGAGATAATAAACTTTTAAAAATTTTAATTTGCTATTACCTTAAAATGAATCTTCTAATTTAAAAAGAAAAAAAATTCATAACCCCCATTTCCATTATTATAACTTCTTTTCCAATATCCCTTCTTAAAAATAACTTCAAATGAGGGATGTTTTCAAATAAAAAAGATTAGAGAAAGATAACATGTAAATGCTATATATGATCCAGGATTGAATCATGGCTCAAAAACAAAAATAAAAACAGAAAGAGTGCACCTATGTGCACGCATGCCATCACACAATGCTATGTTTATCTTAAAGAAATTTAAAATACTGCTATTACATGTCTATAATAACCCACCTCTAGTGAAAAAAAAATTGCTTAAGGTATCAAAAATTTCATTTCAGACTATGATTTCTGATAGTCAAAGTTTGTATTTGAAAATGATATAACTATTTTTTTAAAGAACATATAGTACCTCAACTAAACTCCTGAGATAATCCCAAGTTAATAAGACTCGAAATTAAAGACCACTGCTGAGTCAATTATGGTTTCCAAACGGTTGTTATCTTAAGAGAAGCAGAGTGTCAAATCCTTCTTCCTCACTATGCCACCTTGACTCCTCTAAACGAAGACCAAAAAAGCCAAACACACTGCCATCAAGTTATTTCTAACTCATAGCAACCCTTTACTGGGTTCTGAAGCTGTCAATCTTTATAAAAGGCTGCTTCGTTTTCTTCCCACAGAGCAATCAATTGACCAACATCTAATGCTCTACATCACCAGAGCTCTTTCATTTAAAAAAGACATCTGAAAAACACAGGCAAATAAGAAACTGGATGTCATCATGAGTACTTGCCTCTCTTTCCGCTTCTTTCAATATGGCTTCCTTCTCCTTTACTCGTTGCACAAACATCTGTTTCATCTCATCTTCCTTCTTCTGGCGTTCACCGTAGAATTCATGTCTTTTGGCTTCGTAAGTCTCTTGAAGACTAGAAGTTTATTTGGAATAGTCTCTTGTTAAAAAGGTAATACAATACTTACAAAATCCCATATATATTATGTTAGGCTTCACTTAGTAAAACCTATGAAAACTGAACCTCGATGAGACTGCCTTATTTTTCCGAGCCTCTGTCTGTGACAAGTGTTCTTTCTACCTTTAACAGTGTATGCTTGCTCCTAATCCCACAAACAGGACTGCCCTAAAGTGACGTTTCAGTTGGAGAATATATATAATATACAAAAATAAAAAAGAGTAGAATATTTTTAAAGTCTTGTATTAGTTCTGCATATTTTCCACCAAACCTCATGTCACTTTTTTTTTACTATTTTTTTTAAATTATTTTTTGTGTGCGTGTACCATCAAATCAGATCTGACTGGTACAGGAGGAGATTGCCCCTCCTTCCCCGGCAGAGCATCTGGTGGATTCAAACTGTGCACCTCTGGGATTGTAGTTGCAGCTCCTTGCCACTAGGCCACCAGAGCTCCCTTCATGTCACTTTTTAACTTTCAAAAATGTAAATTTATGAGGCCAAATGGAAGAAACTTATACTACCTTTTTAGAGGTTGGTAAAAAAACAAGCAAGAAGATTCAGAAGGCCTAAGTTACAAAGTTAGGATAATAAACCTAATGCAACTTTGACTTACTATTATGTTGTTGTTGTTATGTGCCGTCGAGTCGTTTCCGACTCATAGCAAGCCTATGCACAACAGCCCTAAACCCTGCTCTATCCTGCGCCAACCGCACTGCCTCTGACACACCCATCCCGATTACCCCAGTCACAGAATCAATCCATCTCATAGAGGGTCTTCCCCTCCTGCACTGTCCCTCCACCCTCCCAAGCATGATGTCCCTCTCCAAGGACCCGTCCCTCCTGGCAACATGTCCAAAGTATGTCAGACGAAGCCCCAGAATCCTTGCCTCCAAGGAGTAGCTTGGTTTAATCCTCTCCAAGATGAATCTGTTTGTTTTCCTGGCAGTCCATGGTACATTCAGTACCCTTCTCCAGCACCACAGCTCAAAAGCATCCACTCTCCTTCTGTCCTCCCTAGTCATTGTCCAACTCTCTGATGCATAATAAGCGATTGCAAAGACCATGGCCTGTATCAGGCGCACCTTAGTCTCCAGAGAGACACTGTTGCTCCTGAGTACCTTTGAGAGGTCCCTAACAGCAGACTTTCCCATCGCGATATGCTTTTTGATTTCCTGACTGCTGGTACCAAGAGTGTTGACTGTGGAGCCGAGCAAACTGAAGCTGTGAACACTCTCAATCTCTTCGTCATCCATCCTGACGCTGCCAATTGGTCTAGTGGCGAGAATCTTTGTCTTCTTGATATTGAGCCTTAGTCCATACTGAAGGCTGCAGTCCTTGACCCTTCGCAGCAAGTGCATGAGGTCCTCCTCAGTTTCAGCAAGCAGGGTTGTGTCATCTGCATAACGCAGATTGTTAATAGATCTTCCACCAATCCTGATGCCACAATTCTCCTCATAGAGCCAGCTTCTCGGATAATCTGCTCTGCATACATGTTGAAAAGGAAAAGAATTTCATGCCTGACACAGAAGTAGCTTGCTCCCTCCCACCCCCTTAAAACATTTATTTTCTTTCTGGAACTAGGTGAAAGGTTATTTGCAAGAGTGTGGCAGAGCGCAACTGCACTCCAGTCTCCAGTAGCTGCTTTTATAAACAATTAATACCAATGTACTACTATAGGTGCAAATCTCACTGACTTCAAAGAGAAAGAAAAAATGGTTCATATATTTATGTCATCTAGAACAAGTCCTATTTTATCTTAAAAAACACTCAAGCTCTTTCACTTAGGACTTGTCTAATTCTGTTTCATGCTCGGCTCTAATAAGCCTATTGTTAGGTGCTGTCAAACTGAGTACGACTTACAGTGAACCTATAAACAAGAGACCTGACATAATCGAGCTCATTGCTGCAGTCACTGTGTCTACCCATCTCACTGAGGGTCATCTTCTCCACATATCTGTTATTTTGGTAGTCCATGGAATATTCAGTGCTATTCTTCAACATCGCAACTTAAAGGCATCATTCTTCTTCTGCCATTTTCATTCATTGTCCAGCTCTCAGATATTTAACAGGAGAAAATACTTAAGAGTTGAATCAGGCGCACCTTAGTCTTCAGCCTGACATCACTGCTCCTCAGTGACTTAGGTTACAGAAGTCCCTGACACAGATTTTCTCAATGCAATATATATCCTAATCTCCTCACTGCTTGTGTCAACAATGATAAAGAACTATTTTCAAAGTCTACTGCAAAGTATGTGTACAAAGTTAACTTATCTTGAGATTTGCAAAGACACAATTTACTACAAGTATGTCATACTTGAAACATTCACTTTAAGGAGTCCTTGACTAGGAAAAAAGTCTCCATGTTAGACTATTAATCAAAAGGTGAGCAGTTCAAACCCACCCAGATAGCTGGACAGTGACTAAGGATGACCAAAGAAATGATTGTTCTACTCTGCACCATTGGGGTCACCATAAATCAGAATCAACTTGATGGCAACTAACAACAACAAAGTAGCTTCTTGAAACATCTTGAAATTAAGAGCTTCCCGATAGACTCATTGCCACCTTTTCCAAATCAACTTGCAGCTGATCCTCCACTGGGTTTCTATGGCTGTAAACTGTAGGAGAGGGGATTGTTCACCTTTCCCCTTGTGGAGCCCTTCATAGATTCAAATCCCTAGAGGAGCACAACCCTTGAGTTAGCAGCTCAACTCCCCAAGGAATATGCCACCACAAGTCCATAGATAAAGCTATAATGAAGGCCTCATTTAATCCTTTCACAGATGAGAAACTAGTAAGAGGCATGTTTGGCACAAGAATCCAATAATCTCGCTTTCATACTAAGAGCTTTCATTCTTTTTTTTTGCTTATTTTTTAAAGCAAATAGCTAGAGACAATATATATTTGTTAAAATGACTGAATGTTGTTGCTGTTGCTGCATCACCAAGTTGAGTTCAACAAGTCATCTTGTTGTGGTTGTTACGTGCTATCGAGTTGCCTATGACTCATAGTGACTGTATGTACAGCAGCTCTGAAACCTGCCCTGTCCTGAACCAGTTTCACTAATTCCAATACACCAACCTCCACTGCCCCAATTACTATATCAATCAATCTCAACTGGGGTCTTCCTCTCCTGCGCTGTCTCTCCACCCTTCCAAGCATGATGTCCTTCTCCAAGGACTGGTCCCTCCTGGCCATATGCCCAAAGTATGTGAGACAGAACTTCAAAATTCTAGCCTCCAAGGAGAAACTTGGTTTCACCCTCTCCAAGACAGACCTATTTGTTTTCTTAGTGGTCCATGGTATGTACAAGACTCTTCTCCAGCACCACAACTCAAAGGCATCATTTCTTTGGTCATCCTTAGTCACTGTCCAGCTCTCTGATGCATAGCAAGTAACTGTGAAGACCATGGACTGGATCAGGCACACCTTAGTCCCTAGACTGACATTGTTGCTTTTTAGTACTCTGGAGAGGCCCGACAGATTTTCCCATACAATTAATCTTTTGATTTCTTGACTGCTGGTGTCAAGAGTATTGACTGTGGAGCTAAACAAGCTGTAAATGTTAACAACTTCAATCCCTTCTTCATCTATCATGGTAATGTCAATTGGCCCAGTGGTGAGAATCTTTGTCTTCTTGATGTTGAACTTCAATCTATATTGAAGACTATAATCCTTGACCTTCTGCAGAAAGTGCTTCAGGACTTTTTCAGTTTCCGCAAGCAAAGTGGTGTCATCTGCATATAGTAGGATCTTGATGAGTCTTCCTCCAATCCTGATGTCACATTCCTCCTTATAAAGCCCCGTTTTCAGAATGTTCTGTTTTGCACGAAGATTGAAGAGGTATGAAGATAGGAGACATCCCTGACATACTCCTTTCCTGATTTTGAACCATGCAGTGTTCCTTTGCTCTGTTCTAAGGACTGCTTTCTAGTCGAAGAATAAGTTTCACTTAAACGCAATCAATCGTTCTGGGATTCCCATTCTCCTCAAGGTTAGCCACAATCTGTTGTGATCCACACAGTCACATGTCTTTGCATAGTCAATTAAACACAGATTGACATTCATCTGGTACTCTTTGCTTTCTGCTAAGATCCATCTGACATTGGCAATAATGCCTTTAGTGCCATGACCTCTTCTAAACACAGCTTGTATTTCTCGTAGTTCTGTGTCAATGTTCTGTTCCAGTCATTTCTGGATAATCTTCACGAAGACTTTGCTTGTGTGTGATATTAGTGATATTGTATGATAATTTCCACATTTTTTTTGGTCATTTTTTTTCTTTTTTAATGGAATAAACACAGATCTCTTCCACTCAGTTAGCCAAGTAGTTGTCCTCCAGATTTCTTGGCACAACCTGGTGAGCACATCCAGGCAAGCATATGTTTGTTGAAATATGTCAACTGGTATTCCATCAACTCCTGGAACTTTATTTTTTGCCAAGTTCTTCAGAATAGCCTAAATTTCCTCCGTCATCACCGCTGCTTCTTGATCATATGTTTCTTGAAATTATTCTGTATCAGCCAATCCTTTTTGGTACAATGACTCTGTATACTCCTTCTATCTTCTTTTAATACTTCCTAGATCATTTAATATTTGACCCATAGCATTCTTTTTTTTCTTTCAGATTATCTTTTTTTAAATTAAATTTTAACTAATTTTAATGAACATTTACAGAGATTTTGGGTTTCCATTCATTCATTGTTGCACTGTTTTCTCTACCACCACCCCCAGCTCGTTCCTCTTTCCCTCCTCCTTTGAAAGTCGACCCATAGCATTCTTAAGTATTGCAACTAGAGGCTTGAATTTGTTCTTTAGTTCCTTTAGCTTAAGAAATGCCTTTTGTGCATGGTGCCACTGTTGTAGAATGGAACTGACACCAGGGTTGGGGTAAGATTGAGATAAACTGGATAAATTATGTATACTGCATTGAAACAGATGAGGGAGAGAACAGTTTAAAAGAGATATATGATAGGGCATTATGGTTATCACAAGAGACCAGAATTAAGGTTGCATAGTGGAGTGTATTAGGGGCGATGGGGTGCGGGGGAGATTGGATACCAATTACAGGATTTTTCTTTTACTTTTCAAAGAGAAGAATGAACTGGAGGAAGGGCTGGGCAGGGAGAAAAGTGCAACAATGAATGAATGGAAATCCAAAATCTCTGTAAATGTTCATTAAAATTAACAACATTAAAAAAAGAAAAAAGAAATGCCTTTTGTTTTTCTGACTCTGGCTCCTTGCACATTTCATTATAATACTTTGCTTTGTCTTCCCAAACTGCCCTTTGAAATCTTCTATTCAACCCCTTAACTTCTTGATTTTTTTTTGGCTTCTCAGTGCTCTAGTGAAATATTCAAAGTCTCTTTTGATACCCATTCTTCTTCTGTCTTTGTAATGACCTTCTATCTTCTTCTTTTTTTAAAACAATTTTTAGAGCTTTTTTTTGCCTTCTACACGGACAATATTTTTGCTATTTTCCCACAGCGCATGTGGTCTTTTGTTCATTAGTGTTCAAGAACTCAAATCTGTTCCTGAGTTGGTTTTTAAATTCAGGAAGATATGTACAACAAAATTAAACTCTACCCAATTTTGTGCCATCCTCATGACGGTACTTAAGTCCACTGGTAAAGCCATGCTGTCAATCCATCTCCTTAAGTCCATCTCTTTTTTTTGCTGACCCTCTACTTTGTCAGAAAGATGTTCCGCAGAGACTGGCCTCTTTTGATAACATGCCAAAAGTATGTAATATACAAGTCTCACCATCCTCACTCACTTCCAAGGATCACTTATTCTGAATGACTGAACAGTTAATGATTTTATGAAGCTCTGCATGCTCTATTCCTTGAAATTCTACTTTGACAGTAACTTTCATTTCTTAATCATCCACACGGGACTGATAATCAGCCAGATGTTAAAACAATCAAAACCCAAACCTACTACTGTCAATTCTGACTCCGAGCAATCCTATCTAATAACGGATGGAGTAAAGTGGCCCCCAGGGATTCCAAGGCTTTACAGAAGCAACTGTGCCATCTTTTTCTGTGGGCTGATGGGTGGACTTGAATTATCAATATTTAGTTAGCAGCTGACTGCTTAGCCCATGTGCCAACAGGGCTCCGGTAAGAAACACAGAGCTAGATTAATCCACCAGGAAGTAGCAATTCTCTTTTTCTGCATTTTATGTCTATTCCACATGCTCTCAACTCAGCATCTTTCCCTCTTCAGTGCACTTTGACCTGACCTGACCTGACCTGAGTCTGAAAGAACAAGAAGTGAAGACTCTTCTGGAAACATTAAAGAAGACAACACTGTATCATTTATTTTTCAACTAAAAAAAAAAAACAAAAACAAACACCACAAAACAAAAAACAAACCATCAGTGCAATAGAGTTAGGCCATAACCAGAAAATAAATGCCTAAATCTAGTGAGGAGGAGTCACTAAATCCTGCCTCCAGGACTCCCCCAGAAGGGGTTCGAGCCCACTACTGCTGAGGTGAGTGCACTCTGACTCTCTGCCACGCCCCTTGAGGTTCTTGGGCTTTAGTTTTACAGAAGATGGTCCAGCTTCTTCCCATGGAGCAGATGGCTGTGGGATTTGAAGCCAATCTGTTGGTTAGCAACTTGATCCATTAAGCAATATGACATCAGTTTATTATGCTATAAGAACTTTAAGAAAACATTAAAAAATTAATTCCATAGATTAATTTTTCCATCTCATAATAGATTTTAAAATAGTTAGTCCTAAGGATTTCATAGCTTTCACCATGCCAAAAAAAAAAAAACAAAACACAAAAAACCACAAAACCCAAACACCAAAAACAAAAAAAACCCCAACATTGTTTTGGAATGAGACATTAAATCAAACTTGATTTAGTACATGAAGGATTGTAGTTTTGTATTTTTTTAAGTTAATAATAAA